CCACATCCAGCGCGTCTTGGACTTTCTCGGAAGGGCCGCCGCAAGGCCGAGGCGCACTGGATATGGATAAGCACAAATCGAGCCTCTGGGGGCAGAATGTTATCCATAGCCAGTTGCCTCGGGTCTCTGGGGGAGAAAGTCCGAGACTCCAAGCTGCAGGGGGTATAAACACAAGTCTTGCCCGCAGTCGCGTCGCGTCTACTTCCCTCGAGAAGGAAAGGATATCAAAGGAGGAGTTTGCGAATTAACTCACGTAGCTGGTTTCTCTGGCGCCTCCTGGCGCTGGAGCGAGCTTCGCCCCCCCCCCCCCCCCTCCCAATGTTCCTAAAACATTTGTTTCGTCCGACGCGAGAATAAGTCTGTGGGTCCGTCCGAGAAATCCGCGCACGACTCCAGCAATTGTCGTCTTGGAATTCTTTCGTCTCCGAAGGAAGGGGGTCGGAGAGCTGGCGACGGAGGCTGAGGCACGATGAATCCGAGAACAATCGGACAATCAGCCGAATGTCTGGGGGCGTCATCGTCCGTCGGCGCTCGTCTTCGCCGTCGTTCGTCGTCGGTCGCTGTTCGCCGTCGCTCGTCATCGGTCGTGGTCCGTCGTCCGTCGATCGTCTTCGTTCGTCTTCGGCCGTCATCGGTCGCCTGTCCTTCGTCTTCGTTCGTCGTCGCTCGTCTTCGGGCGTCGTTGGTCGTCTGTCCTTCGTCGTCGTTTGTCTTCGGTCATCGACCAGGCCAGGACCAGGAGGAGGAGGGAGGGGGAGGAGGAGGAGGGAGGGAGGAGGAGGAGGGAGAAGGAGGAGTAGGAGGGAGGGAGGAGGAGGAGGAGGAGGAGGAGGAGGAGGAGGAGGAGGAGGGCGGAGGAGAGGAGGGAGGAAGGAGGAGGCAGGAGGAGGAGGACGGAGGGGAGGACAGGGAGGGGGGAGGGATGAGGGTAGGGGGAGGGGAGGGAGGGAGGGAGGGTAGGGCAGGAATCGGGGGGGGGGGATGAGGGGAGGGAGGGAGGGAGGGGAGGGCGGGAGGGAGCGAGGAGGAGGAGGGAGGAGGAGGAGGAGCGAGGGCGAGGAGGAGGAGGAGGAGGGAGGGAGGAGGAGGAGGAGAGAGGAGGAGGAGGTGAGGATGAGGGTTGTTTTATTTTTGTTTTGACATCTGCACTTGGCTCGTTGCAAGTAGCTTGAGCTGGGTGGCCGAGGTCGGCCAGGCGGCAGACAGAGCCCGCCTAGCGGGCACAGCACAGGTTCTCCGCTCCTGGTCCGTCCGCAGGCAAAAGCGATTCTTCGCCATTGGACCTGCATGATGGGCGGGGGAGGTATTGGCACCGAGGGGGAGGGAGAGGGAATGATAAGAAGAGAGGGGATCGGTGCCGTGCGAGAAACACTGAGCGCGCCATCTAGGCGTTGCCCTATGCGGGCAGCGCTGAAAGACCGAGAGCAGCAGAGCTGGCCTCAGGGACGGCCATCTGGGAGCATGGCTTAGCCATGGAAATGAGCGGGATGAGTAGGAAGAGGGCCAAAATGGCCTTGCCGCGCTGTATGGCGGCGATGGCGGAGCGGACCAGGAGGGAGAGGCCGGCGTTGCCGCCAAGAGTCTAGGAAGCCCCATCGGTAACGCACGTGACCGGAAAAGGGGGCAGGTGAGAGAGCGCCTGTGCTGTGCTGGGCGTCTTGGAGTAAACGTGGTAAGAGGGGAGGGATGAACATAAGGGAGGAAGAGGGATGATCTTGTCCAGCCAAGCGGGTCTAGGGCGCGATAGCTGTCAGTAGAGGTACTCCCCTCTGACGGCCAGCATTAGCCGATAATTGCTCGGCAGGTGGGATGCACTGAGGCGGCATCTTTGCTTGCCGCAAGCCAGGAGACTAGGAAGCCCCATCGGTTACGCATGTGACCGGAAAGGGGGCAGGTGAGAGAGCGCCTGTGCTGTGCTTGGCGTCTTGGTGTAAACGAGGTAAGAGGGGAGGGAAGAACATATGGGAGGGAGAGGGATTATCTTGCCAAGCCAAGCAACGCTAGGGCGCGATAGCTGTCCGTAGAGGTACGCACCTCTGATGGGCAGCCTTAGCCGAGAGTTACTCGGCGGGTGGGATGTGCTGCGGCGGCAATTTTGCTTGCCGCAGTATCGACTCAGCCGTGGCGAGTCTGCGAATTGCGCTGTGAGCATTGCTCTGACCGCTCTGCTGGTAGCGAGGCTGCTCAAAAGTGTCGCTTTGGCCTGGCCGCACTGCTGCGGCAAGAATGTGTGAAACTGGAGACTGGTGCTGGCTACAGCTCTTGCAGCTGGCCCGCCCTCTGGATGGGGCTGAAGAAAAGATCTGAAGGGCCCGCTGCGACGAGACTATAGGACAGGTCGGCCGACCTTAGATTGGAGCAGCATAGCTCCTCGCTGGTGAATTACGGTGCGTGTGGCTGGCTAGGGCTATCTAGGTGGTGGGCTGCCGATATAAGCAGAGACTAGGGTATTAGGCTAGCCCACCACCTATGAAGACTCAGCCGTGGCGAGTCTGCGAATTGAGCTGTGAGCATTAGCTGTCCGCTCTTCTGGTAGCGGGGCCAACTAAAAGTGTCGCGTTGGCTGCACTAGTGCGGCAGAAAGGTGTGAAGCTGGAGACTGGTGCTGACTACGACTTTGCAGCGGGCCTTTGGCATGGGGCTAAATGAAAGAATAGCTGGGCCCACTGCGACGGGATTGCAGGTCGGCTCAGCCGATCTTAAATTGGAGCAACACGGCTCTCCAGCTGTAAACATTCGGCTCGTGTGGCTGGCTGGGGCTGTCTAGGTGGTGGGCTGCCGTGGAACCGAGACTAGAGTATTAGGCTAGCCCACCACCTATTATTTGCGCCAAGGTCGCCCTTGTCGACCTTGGATGGCGCCGGCTGGGAGGTAGCACACTAGGGCCCGCTCATGCACCGCGCGGCTGCCGCGCGGCCGCCGCCGCCGCCGCTCGCGCCCGGGCCTCCAGCAGCATGGACTCGACCTCTGAGATGGTCGCCAGGCCTGGGGCCTCTATCCATTCCCAGTCCCAAGTTTCGACGAGCTGGCCGTTGATGACGTCGAGGGACTTGAGCTTCCACACGAACGGGTAGAGCATGCCGTTTGGCATCTTCCATTCGCCAGGGTACGTAGCTGGCCACCATTTCTTGAACTCCCTGTTGGCGGCAATGTACTGGGAGCCCTGCCATGCCGAGCCCGAGTACGCGTCGCCTGATAGGCCGACGAACTCGGCCGCGGCCTCCTGCGGGGGCGTGGCCCCCTCAGCCGCCGCCGAAGCGCGCCCGACCGCAGGACCCATGGCTGCGCTGCGCGCTCTGAGAGGAGGGGGAGTGCGGAAGGAGCGAAAAGAAGTAGCCCATAAGCCAACGGCCATATATGAGTGAAACCTAGCTGGCCTATGCGTGCGCCTGGGCGAGGAGGACCCTCCTGATGGGTCGACTGATGCATGCTTGGCCCGGTGCTGAGTCGATAGGGATGAGGATGGTTCCGCTGCGCATGTTGACCCGCAGCGAAAGGCCGGCGCGAAAAGGTATGCCCGTGCCGAATAAAATGGACCGTGCATCGGTCTCCTGAAGAATGGGGAGGTGAAAAAAGCGTGGTCTCTCCACTGAAGATGGCAGCCGGGTTTCCTGCCCGTGGAATTGCTCCATTAGGAGTCCTACATTGATGGGCAGCGGAGACCAGAGCGGAATGTGACCTGCCGTGATCACTACCAGCCACTGTACGACTGTAGGCTGCGGTGGCACGGCCTCAGTGGGTGCGCAGCGGACGTCGCCGTGCTCGAACTGCGGCAGGTGCTGCGCATCTGGGGTCGGCATGGCCTGAGGGGCTATGGTTCTGGGAGGCGGAGGATTCGAGAGAGGTAGGACAACGGAAGGCAAAATGGCCGCACCAGGATCATGGCCTGGAAGTCAATTAGGATGGGGCTGCCAGCCGCTGCCTCCTCCAAAAGACGCTGAGGGATGAGAGCAGGCTGTTCCCAGGCCCCCGTGTGGAGGAGGTCCAGAAAGATCTGGTCGGGCACGTAGACAGTGACCAAACTTATAGCGGGTGAGAAACGGGCAGCGTAGGGGCCTTCACCCGCTGCGCGCTGAGGATAGATGTGGAGTAAGTTGGGAGAGTTGGCCTCGCACCGACGCCCATGCCACCGCTCGACTGTGTGATTAGCGACATCGGGCAAGTCCATATAGAGCTCGGGGCCTACGGTAGCGCGGGCGTGCGGCAGAGCAGGCGGCCCGCTCTCGAGCTGCCATGTAGCTTGCCATTGGGGTACCGAGGCAGGCTGGTACACAGCGGTAGGAGATAGTAAAAAAGCGTGGCGCCTCGAGCCGCCGCTGAGAAAGCGGAAGACCTGCCGGTGGGCCAGGAGAAGCCGCTCCGCCAGGCACTCCCAAAAGGGCCATGCGCTGCGAAAGTCTGGGGGCAGCCGCTCCATAATGCGGAGCAAATCTAGGTGCCTCCCCGGGGCCGCTTCAGCAGCGGGCATGTCCTCGTCTGCGTCGGCGTTGCCCAAGGTGCTGAGCTCGCGCATCATGGCCTGTGGGGGGAGAAACGAGGGAAAGGAAGCTGAGAGAGGTAAGGAGGGAAGGGGTAGGCCTGGGCTGAATTACAGCTGCATGGCGTAGGCTTAACGCCTGGCGGCATCGCCTCCTTCATGAGGCTTGCGCGGCCGCCTGGGAGAGAGGCGCTGACCGCAGTGCGAGAGGCTTTCGCCTTCTCTTAACTGTAGTTTGAGGCGCTCCCTGTGTATCCTGTCGATACGGAGGCTCGAGGTAGGGAGGAGGAGGGAGAGAGGAGGAGTGGAGGAGGGGAGGAAGGAGAGGAGGAGGGAGGAGGATGAAGGCGGAGGAGGAGGAGGGAGGGGGTGGAGGCGAGGAGGAGGAGGAGGACCCGTGGCACTCGTCGAGCGAGCGCCTGCGGAGCGCCCGAAAGCCTAGGGCACGCAGCCTCCGCCCGGTCGCCCCACCCCCCGCCCCCCCCCCCCCCCCCCCTCCCCCCAGCCCGCGGCAGGAGGGGGCCTCGCCGGCCGGCGCCTCAGCGGCGGCGGCCCCGCCGCACCCCGCGGCGGCGGCCTCTGGCGCTCGCGGCCGACGCGAGGCCGCTGCTTTTACGTGCTGATTTTACGCGCTGAATTTAGGTGCTGATTTTAGGTGTTGTTTGCTACGTGCTGTGGTTAGGTATTGTTTTTAGGTGTTGCTTTTACGTGATGATTTTACGTGCTGACTTTACGTGCTGATGTTACGTGTTGTTTTTACGTGATGCTTTTACGTGTTGATTTTAAGTGCTGTTTTTGTTTCTCACGTTTACGTATTGTTTTTTTACGTGTTGCTGTTACGCACTGTCAACATGTATCTTCTCACGGTTAAGAACTACCGTTCTCCTGGGAGGTCTCCGTCAGACCCGCTTGGGCGCGAAGTGGCTGGGGAGCCACACATGACGGGGGGGGGGGAGAGGAGGGTGCACTCCTCGGGCCCGAGAGGCCTCCTATACGGGGGCCCTGAGGGGGGCCCTCGAGGGGCCCTAGAAGGCAGCCCTCGCTGCCCCCCCCATTTATCGCCCCCCCCCCACTGCGCGCCCTCCGACCCGACTCGGGGGCCATCAGGCCGGGCGGGCTAGCTCAGATGAGGCCCAGGATTTAGCCAGACTGAGCCAGACTGAAAATGGATGAGGCTCGACTCGAGGAGACGGTGTCGGATCGGCCCTATTTCTGGCCTTGGATCTACGAGCGGCGAGGCTGAGTCTAACCCTCCACGGATTGCATCCTGAGAAAAAGGAGGAGGAGGAGGAGGAGGAGGAGGAGGAGGCGGATGCAGGGAGGTCGCGGCCTCGCGACCCAGACAATGCCCCCAGACCACCCCAGCCCAAACCGACGACCCAAATGTCGGGTGGGAAGGAGTACGGGTTCCACATGTGTGTGTGTGTGTGTGTATGTTTTTAGTGTTCCCCGACGCCCGCCCCACTGGCAATGGAGTGCAACTTGGGGCCTTCGTGTTGGGTAAGGGTGGTTTGGTGGGTGGTGGGGGGCCTCTGGGGCCGCGGATTGGACAAATCATGTCGGCAGACGTCAGGGCCAGGGGGGGGGATCACCACTGAAAGGGTCGCCTCCTCCTCCTCCGGGAAGCGGATCGCCCGGACCCCCCCTAAGACCTCCGGAGAGGCGCCCAAAAACATCCCCAGCTTCATCGATCCTCGATCCAAGACGCCTCAGCATTGGCGGCGCGCACAAGGGGGTAGGATGCTGCTTCTTAGAAGGCGCCAGCCTCACATCTGTAAAGAAAGCACGCGCCTTCTAAGAAGCAAGCGTGCTTCTAAGAATTCTTCAACCCTCTCCCTAACCCCCTTTCTGTCCCCCTCTTTGAGCAGGGACCGACCGTCCCGGCATTCCTGTAGTCCTACCAGAAAATGTTCTTAGAACCCCCTAAAAGTTCTAAGATCAACCACGTCCTTTGAACAGAATCCCGATGAGTTAGAACAAAAGAGCACCATCCAGAAATGTTCAAGATCAAGTCGTGCAGACAACAGAAAGGTTCCTGGAACATTCTGTGGTGGGCCTGTGCGCAAGCCAGGACGACTCGCCACTGCCCGACCTCTGCCCGTGACCGACGGCATGCCAATTTTCGGCACGGTTGCGGCGAACGGTAGCCTCGTTCGGCCTGGCTGGCTCGGCCTAGGCTCCGCGGCTCCGCGCAGCTCGCGCGCCGCCAGCGCGCGCTGTCCAATGATCCCTTGCACGCGCACTGACCCGTTGTTTTTTTTCAACGGCGAAGCATAGGACGGGCATGTCCTCCTACAGGCGGACTTTGAAAGAAAAAGAGAATATTTGAAAAGCATTCAGAAATTGTCAGAAGAGCACGAGAAATCGTCCCCGACTATTGTTTGACTATTCCCGAATATTCCTCCTGTAGAGGAACATGCCCGACGTAACATTACTCCTTGCACGCGCACTGCCCCGCTGCTTTTTCAATGGCTAAGCGCGCCGAAGTCCTCCTCGACCCCCGGCTTCAATGAGGGCGGACACCCCCCCTGGATGGTGACCCCCTCGGCGCTCACCCGAGAAGAGGCCGCCCCGCCTCGCTGCAGGCCCGGCGCCTCGAACACGCATCGAGGAGGCCTGCATGCCTCCACACCGGACCTCTGGAAGGCGGCTTCCGGCCTCGGGACCTGCACTACAGGCTGGAGGGGCCCACAAACACACAAATAAATACACACAAATAACAGGAATCCCCAAATTTTTATATATTTTCTGGGTTTCTGTCTTCCCCCCCCCACTTCCCATATTTTCCTATATTTTCCTGGGAGTCGGCGATTAATTGTGTCTGTGTGTTTCTTCCCCTCCTGACAGGCCTCGCGCCACCGTGCGGAACACACTAAAAAAATGAAGGGGTGTTCCTGGCCACGGCGGGCCTATACGTCACAAACAGGTTCCACGGCATACATCTAGAGCCCGTGCCCCTCCTGAGACCAAAGCAGCTCTTATTTCAACATTTGGGCTGTATACACACTTTCTTTTGATTCGCGGGTCGAGAGCGCACCTCTTCCGGTCGAAGCTAAGCGGGCCGCGCGAAGCTTGAATTAGCCATTGAGGGGGAGGAAAGAAGGAGGGCGCAACAAGGGCTGTATACACACACGAGAAGAACTCGTGGGGCACATCCTTCGTCGATCTTTGAGGTCTGGGGGTGCCCGGCGCTTCTTGAGGGTCACAGGGGCCGTCGGGGGGTCAGAGATTGCTGGGGGGGTGGGGCTGGCAAGCCGTTTTGTTGTTTGACGCGCCTACTGTACCGCCCCCTGGAAAAGGGACTCGCGCGTGGTCCGTCTCCCCGCGCCCCTCAATGTCAATGTTCCCGCAGAGGCCCCGCGCGAGCATTCCCTAGTAGCGTTTTGCTAGGGGGCTCTGGTCGTGGTAAGTGGGGAGCCGGAGTGCCAGTGCCGGCGGGTCACGATCCCAACTATTCAGGAAGCGTGCTCTCACCTCAATGACGGCTACATGCTTGATCCGCCCAGTCACGCTCCCTTGTAAGGAACTAAGGTGCACATGAACGCGAGGTTCCTAAGAATCCCCACCAGCCGACCCCCTACTCCTCGACCGGTCTCTTTACCTTTGCTTCTGTCACGGTGCTTAACTGTTTGTTGTTTTGGTTGCCGTCAGCTGCTGCATTGTTAACACTGAGATCGGGGGTGCCCAGGGTGACAAAAAGCACCCAAAACGTTGAATGTGCTTCCTGGTGGGTGTACAAGGTGCACAGGTAGAATGACCCCCAGCATAATACACATCCCTACAGGAAAAAAGCATTTGCGAAGCGCACCACGAAAATGAATCGGACAGGCCGCACTTCTTTATGAATGCCCAAGATGCTCTGGCAAACGCTGTTCTTAGGTCGGGCATGTCCTCATACAGGCGGATTTGGGAAGACGAATAAGAGATAGACAACACATGTTCTAAAAAGAGTCAGGAGAGCACGAACATCGTCCCCTGACTATTTCTTGACGCATGCCCGACCTAACGTTATTTAGGCGAGTCGGGGCAAACTTTCCTCCATGAGTGACCGTCACCCAATGTGTTGGTCGCAGTGCTGGCGGTCGCTCAGCGCCATGCTGGGCCACAGAGGCACTACAATGGCGCTGAGGAAACAAGGGCTCCTAAGTTCGCGCTTCGCGCTGCGCGAAGCGCGAAGCGCGAATAACTTCGCGCTCTCGCGCCGCCCCCCAAGGGGGAGAAGAGGAGGACGAGGAGGAGGGGGAGGAGGAAGGAGGACCGCGAAGCGCGAAGCGCGAATAACTTCGCGCCCTCCTGGGAGCCCTTGAGGAAAGAAGCACGGAGAGGGGCGGCCGCGAGGGGAGGCAAGGCAAGAGGCGCGCGCGCCCAGTCTACAGTCGACCCGTCTCATAGCGATGCGCGGTAAGGATGCAAAACATACCCGGACCCGGGGTCAGCTGGGGTGAAAAGGGCCGCCCGCTAGAGCGTTTTCGGCCTTGCCGCCACCTCGTCTGGGTACGGGTCGGTGCCCGAAACACCCATACATACCCGGACCTAGCTGGGGTGGTGGTTGGGTCACCCCGTCTAGGTACGGGTATGTATGGTGGTTTCGGGAGCCGACCCGGACCCAGGGGGGGTGATGCCCCGAGGGCCCCTTGCCACCCCGTCTGGGTAGGGGTACGGGTATCTTTCGCGCTCGAGGCCCTTGGAGGCTATGTTAACGTTTTTCGAGCGAGAGTGGCCAGCGAACGTCGCTGAGGATGGGCCGAAGTGCCGGATGCAAGGGCAGCCTTGGAATACTGGTCAGCCTTCTGATGCGGGCAGACTGTATGCAGAAACTATCGCGAGCCGTGTGGGCGGCCATCGGCACCGTCGATCGAACGACTCGGACGGAAAATGCAAGCTCTGGCGCAGGCAGCGCCGAGGGGGCCACCACTGGAGGGGCCGCCGCTGCCTTGAGGAAACGCCACTTCTTCGAGGGAGCTAACCCCCAAAGAACACCCCAGACCTTAGTGGGCCCTGGAAACGAAAGGGCCGTTTTTTACCGGTTCCGTTTTGCCGTTTTTGTTGCCCGTTCCGACGCCGTTTTTGTTGCCGGTTCCGTCGCTGTGCTTTGACCGGTTCCGGCTCCGGTTCCAATCCTGGAGCCGGTTTTGTTGCCGTTTCCGGTCGCCGTTTTTGTTGCCGTTTCCATTTTCAAGGGACACTTTTTTGGAAACGGTGAAAAAAACAGCCCTTCCAGCGCGGCCCTGGGCGTCCTGGACCCCCGACTCTTCCAGGAGGAACTCGTGACCCCCCTGGCTCGAAGGGGGGATCGCCTACAACATTGACTTACCCCAAGACTGATTTTTGTCCGTCGAATGGATTGGCAAAAAAACGCTTGTGCTCGTACATCCGCGAACATTCTACATTGTTGTTCCACCTTAGATTCCACGGGAATCTTAGGTTCAGGGAACATCCATCCTGTAGTCGATCCCCCACTCGGCTGGTGGCGACCATCCTGGGCACTCCCCGACCCAGAGATCCGACGTCGTTATCTTCAAAATACGAGGTCCCCAAAAGTCTCGACCCACTCCCGAAGACGGGTCTTCCATCCTGAGTCGTTCTCTCACGGTCCTGGGGCCCGGCGAGGGCCCGTGGAGGCCGAAAACAGCGAAAGACCTCCACCTTGATGTTGTCCAATGCGTTGGACCTCTGGGGAGGCCCCGGGGGGAAACAAAAAACACGCCGAGGCCAAGGGGGCACCCCGGCAGCGTTGTTGCTGTCGCAGCGCGGGAGGCGTGGCAGGGGCCTCCTCGAGGCCCCGAGGGGAGGGGGGGGGCACCCTCGAAGAGAAAGAAAAAAAAAAAAAAAGAAAAAAGAAAAAAAAAAAAAAAAAAAAAAAAAAAAAAAAAAAAAAAAAAAAAAAAAAAAAGGATAAGAAATAAAAAAAAAGAAAAAGAAAGAAAAAAAAAAAAAAGACAAAAAGGAAAAAAAGCGGAAAACCTCTCGTCGTGTGATTGATGGCACCGCGCGAGGGGGTCTGAGTACTCGAAGGAGGAGAGGAGAGGAGGAGGGGGAGGAGGAAGGGGGGAGGAGGGAGGAGGATGAGGCTGAAGGAAGGGAGGGGGGTATTCCGGTTCCCCCCCCCGGTGGTAGGAGTGTATGCGGCGTTTGAGGATGCTGGCGGCGATTCGGGGTGAAGGAGGATGCGTCGGCGGGGCGGAGCTAGTCGGACGACCAAGATAGGCGTGCGTATCCTCTCATGTTCTCTTATCCTCTCCTATCCTCTATCAGCTATCATATCAGAGAAGAGAAGAGAAGACCGCGAGGGGCCCCGTTCCGCTGACCGGAGCTGCCGTCACCCGAAAAACACCAGTTACGGCAAACCTGGTTTAGCGAATCTGGCCAATGGAGGGGCCCCAGGGCGCCACCTCGGGGCCTGAGAGACCGGGGTCAGTGCAAACGGGGGTCAGCCAGAGCGCAAGATCCTGCATCATCCTGCGAAGGCCCCCCCTGGCTGACCCGGGTTAGCGAGCCGCTCGTGGCCGCGAGGCGGCCGCTCGTATTGGCTGACCCGGGTTTGCGAAGACCTGCGTTGCAATTTTTATTTCCTGCATTGCATTTTTCGGTTTCCTGGATCTTCTGACCCGGGTCTGGATTGACCCGGGTCAGAAGATCCCCGAACTCACAGGGTCCCCTTACCTGGGGTCCTGGCCATACCCGACTCTCCCCCCTGCAAGGGCGCGGCCGCGCCTCCTCGCTAGGCGCCGCCGGCGGGTCGGCGGCGTGCCCAGGGGGCGGCGGGGCGCCTCTGGAGCGTGCGTGTGCTCTCCGACCTACTCCAGGTCCTCCTCCTCGTGCTCCTCCTCCTCCTCCTCCTCCTCCTCCTCCTCCTCCTCCCTCCTCGTCCTCCTGCTCGTCCTCGTCCTCCTCCTCCTCCTCCTCCTCCTCCTCCTCCTCCTCCCTCCTCCTCCTCCCCCTCCTCCTCCCTCTCTCCTCCTCCTCTCCTTTCCTCCCTTCTCCTCCGTTCTCCTCCCTTCCCCTCCTTCCTCCTCTCCCTCCTCCTCCTCCTCCTCCCTCCTCCTCCTCCTCCTCCTCCTCCTCCTCCTCCTCCTCCTTTTCATCCTTCCCCTCCTTCCTCCTCCTCCTCCTCACTCCCCTCCTCCTCCTCCCTCCTCCTCCCCTCCCTCCCTCCTCCTCCTCCTCCTCCTCCTCCTCCTCCTCCTCCTCCTCCTCCTCCGCCTCCTCCTCCGCCTCCTCCTCCTCCCGTCTTCTCCTCCTCCCGTCTTCTCCTCTTCCTCTTCCGATTCGTGGCGCTGGATTCCCTCTCGGTGCCCTTCCTGGTCCCTTTACAGCACTCTGCGGCCCCCTTCCGCTCAAGGATGCGCCAACTACACGTGGCAGGAAAAGAAAGTATGCCCCCACTTAAAACGGAGAGCATCGAAGACAAGGAGGGCGGATATCCAGGGCTTGGAAAGCACATGGTGAATGACACGATTGCCTATAAGAACGAGCAATCGTGAAATAATTGTTGGTGCTGTTATTGTTGTGGTTGTGGTTGTGGTTGAAGTTGTGGTTGTTGTTAATGCTGCTGATACTGCTGTTGTTGTGGTTGTGGTTGGTGGTTCTTGTGGTTGGCAATCGTTATGTATTGTTGTTGCTGCTGTTGCTGTTGCTGTGATTGGCGTTGTTGATGCGGTTGTTGTTGTTGTTGCTCTCTCACTCCTGAAGCATAATAATAATTATTGTTGATCCCCCTCCCTCCAGCGCACATTGTGTTGTCGCATTGAAGTGCCGCCCCTGGGGCTCGCACACTGCTTTATTTCTAATCAAAGAAAACGGCGTGGAACTCAACTTGGGGCCCTGGCCCCCGAACTACAACCGCAATGGCTCCCGCCGGATACTTCCTCACAACGAATTCACGAACCACGCTTCCGCGTCGGACTTCGCCTACATGTGTGCAGTAATCGCGCTCTCGCGTAGGAGGTCTTCGCAGATTACTCCAACGCCGAGCCCTCGACACTCAGGAATCACGCTCTCGCTTTGGCTTCTCTCGCGACTCGCTTGGAAATCGAGCTATCGCTGCATGTTTCCTCGCGATGCATGCAGGACGCACGCTTCAGCAGCCCTCACTGCTCGACCTGGCCTGGCCGCCGGGGTCCGCTTTCCCGACCCGCCCGCTGTGGGTCTGCCCGCCCGATCTGCCCGTTTGGGTATGCCGCGTGTTGCTTGCTCCCAGCCACCCTCCTGCTAATTTCTCGTGCTCTATCCTTCGCCCTCCCCCTTCTATGCGTCCTCTCCTCCCTTGCTTTAGGGGCTGCACTACATGCATGTGGCAGGTAAGGAAATGATGCCCCAAATGGGGGTACGATCGAGGACGAGGGGAGCGGGTACCGTGGGCTTGGGACATACGTGTTGGATTCTACGCGAGCAGATAGGAGCGAACAATCTGAAACAGATGGTCGTTGTTGTTGCTGCTGCTGGTGTTGGTGTTGTTGTTGTTGGTATTATTGTTGGTATCGTCCTCGCCCGCAACCCGACTACAACCTATCCGCGACCCGCCAATGACTCACCCGCGACCCGACCGCAACCCGCCCGCGACTAAACCGCGACCCAGCAGCGACCCACCCACATTGCTTTTACGCCAAGTCGGCGCCTGCGGCGGGCTCCTTGTGTAACATGTAAAGAATACACGCCGACGGCGGACTTCTTCAGAGCCTCAGTCGTACTACTCTTACCAGCAGAGGAACTCGACTAGTCGTATTACTACTCTTACCCTCTTCAGAGCCTCAGTCGTACTACTCTTACCCTCTTCAGAGCCTAGTCGTACTACTACTTCAGCCGACGCCGAGGAACTCCACCTACTCCTACCAGCAGCTGCGAGAGCTATGATCTCTCTGTGTGCATATATGTAGTATGAGAGGGTCTGTGAGAGAGGGAGAAAGAGAAGCAAATACCCTCCAGGCGAGAGGAATCACGTGACCTATCTCCCACCCAGAAGGCAACGCGGAGGGATGCATGGGGGGGGGCAGGAGGGAGAGAGGGAGGGAGGATGCGGGGAGGAAGAGAGAGGGAAGGAGAGCGGAGGGAGGGAGGGGGAAAGAAGAAGAGGAAGAGGATGAGGTGGGTAAGTCTCATGCGAAACGCCCGGCGCGCCCTTTTCGACCAGCCTCGGGGTGCGACGGGGAGAAGTCGTAGAAGGAAGAGGAATGGAGGAAGAGGCGGAGGAGGAGGAGGAGGAAAAGAAGGAGAAGGAGAAGGAGCAGGAGGAGGAGGAGGAGGAGGAGGAGGTGGAGGAGGTGGTGAGAGGAGGCGGCGGAGGAGGAGGCAGATCGCTTCTTCTGCCATCCCCTGCTCCCGGCCACCGGCGGCGCGCTCGCCTCGCGCTGCGCCCTCCTCTTCGTCGCCGCCTCGTGCGTCGGGGATGCCGGTGTGCCTCCCCGCCGCCCCCCCACCTCCTCCTCCTCCTCTTCCTCCTCCTCCTCCTCCTCCTCCTCCTCCTCCTCCGCCTCCTCCTCCTCCTCCTCCTCCTCCTCC